ACAGGAGTAAAGTTTACAAACAAATCGACTTACGAACAGACCTCCGTAACCTAACTCGTCCGTAAGTCGAGGAGTCGCTCGACTCGGCTGTCGTTTGCCTGGACACGTCACAACAGAGCCACGTGGCTATTTTGGAGGCCTCCTCTTCATCGGGAAATGCGACATCTCTGAAAACTAGTGGACAATGTGTGGATCAAAGAGCTTCATAGATCATCGGATTCCTCCGGCACGAATACATATTCTGATATTCTGAACTCTGCAATCTTGTCGCGTACATCTGGTTCTGTCAGGACAATGCCTGATAATTATAATCGATCTTCCCCTCCAACCCCCGCCCCCCCAGTGCTGATGTTTCCACGCCGTACCAGGTAAACTCACTTATGGCTGAGTCAACCCAGGGGGAGACCCACAGACCTTGTTCAAACATTCTCCACTGCTCTTGGTCGTGAACTGGTGGTCGGGGTATGGTTACGCAGTGCGCTGACTACTGCGCCACCACTCCCTGGACACAAAACAAGAGTTGCACGCAACACAGTCTAAAACCAAACACATTGTCCTGCGGAGGGAGCTGGTAGGAACGTTGGGTTGCTCGGTCAATGGCCTGCAGGGTCAACGGCGGCGTGGTGTATTCCGCAAATATGGCCGACTGTGAGGGCGGGCACAAGCCGGCGTGAGTAGTTTAAACGTTGAGTTTTATAAGGGCACCACGGGGTGATCAGCCTCTCCCCACCCAGCCCCACCCCTCCCCACCCCACCCAGCCCTCCCCACCCAGCCCCACCCTCCCCGCCCAGCCCCTCCCCACCCAGCCCCTTCCTCCCCACTCAGCCCCTTCCCACTCAGCCCCTCCCCACCCAGCCCCACCCAGCCCCACCCTCCTCACCCAGCCCCTCCCCACCCTCCCTTCCCCATCCAGCTCCCCTCCACCCTCCCCACCCAGCCCCTTCCTCCCCACTCAGCCCCTTCCCACTCAGCCCCTCCCCACCCAGCCCCACCCAGCCCCACCCTCCTCACCCAGCCCCACCCTCCCCACCCAGCCCCTTCCCACCCAGCCCCACCCAACCCTCCCCACCCAGCCCCTCCCTGCACGACGGACACAATAATCCCCTGTGGGCTGGTGTAACCAGGAGGTTCCTACCAGTATGAATCCTATCGACTCCCCCGAGCATCAGACTCCCCTCCCCTGTCCGCGTTCTTGGCTCAACTTTTGAAGCCAATCAGCGTTTGTTTAAGCGCAGAGAGCCGTGGTCCAAGCTGTTCAGTTCCGTGTCCATCCCCTCCAGCAGCGCCTCCGATGGGCACGGTTGACTACGTACGGTGCGAAAGAAGTTCAACCTACAAACTAAACTCGTTTTGTAGTCATAATACAGGTGCTTTTTTGGGGGGTTAGATCGCGTAAATATATACATGTGTCGTTAAACCCGCCACCACCCAACACGGCCAATCAGTGAGGTTTGTCACGTAAACAGAACGTGGCCAATTCGGTACTAGTACAGCACTACCCGGTGTGTTGGAGAGCCAAGCCACAACCTTTACAATTATAGTGTAGTGTGTTGTGTAGTGTATAGTGTAGTGTATAGTGTAGTGTATAGTGTATAGTATAATGTAGTGTATAGTGTAGTGTATAGTGTAGTGTGTCGTGTAGTGTATAGTGTAGTGTATAGTGTAGTGTATAGTGTAGTGTATAGTGTAGTGTATAGTGTAGAGTATAGTGTAGTGTATAGTGTAGTATACTAGTACAGCACACCGGTGTGTTGGAGAGTATATCCACAACATTTACAATCCGGCTGTCGCCTGATGATGCTAGTTGTAATTACTGGCGAAACGTCGAACTCAGATTGTAAATCGACGCGTAACATGTTTCCCCTTTGAATATAAATTTATGTTTGAGATCAGGGGCGGTTTCTTCATTAGGGCAATTGGGCGACGCACCACCAATGTCATTCAACCACAGAGTTACGCTAGCCGTCACTGTCAGCCTCTGGATATAGTCCAATCAGCGTCATGTCACGTTCTGTGGAGTACCGCCTCTTTTTGGGCGATTTCACTACGGCTGAGAATCGCCCCGAGTGGCCCCATAGACTTACATTGAAAGATGTTTTTTTTCGAACGGAGGCGCTCCAATGCATTCTCTATGGCTTCCGGGAGGGCATGCACTAACGTGCTTACGTCATCATACGTGCTAACGTCATCATACGTAAGCACGTTTCATCCAACAATATAATTTGTCGCCACCTAGTGGAATCTTTAATAAAAGAAACTTGAGTGGATTGTATTAATACTGAGTATAGAAACAAACAAGATGTATTGTAAGAGTCACTTTATTTTTCATTAATATTAAAGAAGTGAAGTTGCCTTTACATGCTTAAGCTGTTAATTTATTCATTGCATGGGTGGACCTTATCCTTATCAATCATCCAGACATTTGCCCCCCCTGAGAGATTTTGCAGGAGCCGCCACTGTTTGAAATAAACCATAAAGTATCACGTTTCAAATAATTGAATCTCAATGGGGGGGGGGGGGGGGGAGGTCACAAGACATCTGGACCACGCTGTACTATACCGAATATAACTCCATTACTTGTACAGGATCGTTCGAATGGTAGCGACGCAATGTGTCACCGGTTTTTAAAAATATAGTTTGCATAATTTATTTACCCACGCTAAGTCGAAACACTGCAGAGTCACGATATGTTCCTCTAATTATAAACACGCACGGCGCGGGCGAGACCATTCCTCTCGCAGGGGTGTTCTTAAACATTCACACAAAAGACAAAGATCCCCCGTACAGCCTATACAAGACTGTAGGGGCAAGTGCTGTTAGCGAGTAGCGCCTATAAAGGCCGACACGGCACACACGAGGGGGTGGGTGGACAGCACCACCACCACGCCCGGCCGCCTTTGTCTCCCCGGTGACGATATTTACTACACACCGCACCAAGTAGTCATTTGAGGCTGAGTCGACCTCGGGGAGGCCCAGTACCCGTTCAGATAATCGTGACCGGTGTTGGGCATTAGCGGGAATGGAATTTGGGTCGTCGGGTAGCGCTAACCACTGCGCCACCGCTCACCAAAAAGCATTCTGGTCACACACCCCCCCCCCGTAGTCGTACTTAGTACGGCCCAAGGGCGAGTTCATTCCTCCCGCGGGGGTGTTTCTTAGTCGTTCACATCCATAATCAGTACGGCACTAGGACGAGTTCATTCCTCCCGCGGGGGTGTTTCTTAGTCGTTCACAGCCATAATCAGTACGGCCCAAGGGCGAGTTCATTACTCCCGCGGGGGTGTTTCTTAGTCGTTCACAGCCATAATCAGCACGGCCCAAGGGCGAGTTCATTCCTCCCGCGGGGGTGTTTCTTAGTCGTTCACAGCCATAGTCAGTACGGCCCTAGGGCGAGTTCATTCATCCCGCGGGGGTGTTTCTTAGTCGTTCGCAGCCATAATCAGTACGGCCCAAGGGCGAGTTCATTACTTCCGCGGGGGTGTTTCTTAGTCGTTCACAGCCATAATCAGCACGGCCCAAGGGCGAGTTTATTCCTCCCGCGGGGGTGTTTCTTAGTCGTTCACAGCCATAGTCAGTACGGCCCTAGGGCGAGTTCATTCATCCCGCGGTGGTGTTTCTTAGTCGTTCGCAGCCATAATCAGTACGGCCCAAGGGCGAGTTCATTACTTCCGCGGGGGTGTTTCTTAGTCGTTCAGAGCCATAGTCAGTACGGCACTAGGGCGAGTTCATTACTCCCGCGGGGGTGTTTCTTAGTCGTTCGCATACCAAAATGTTGACTCGTTCGTAGGGCGAGTTCATTTTCCCCGCGAGCATGGAGCGCGTGTTTTTTTTTTTGATGGAGAGGCGTCTTTCGCAAACCATTATTGTCGTTGAATAATTATGAACAAGCATCTAAGATCAACGGCCAACGGACGAGTCCATTTCCCTTCTTAGGGAGGGGGGGGGGTGTTCGTAGCACATCAGGCGCCACCCACATAGTTGTTGTGATCGTTATAGTGGGGGCGAGTCCATTTGCGTGCGTCCTGGGGGGGGTGTTTGTGCTAAGATGCATAGCCCATGGAAGAGTCCATTTCCCTTCTTAGGGGGGTTCTTGCAGCACATAGTTGTTGTGGTCATCTTATCGTGCCGGGCGATTCCATTTGCGTGCGCCCTGGGGGGGGTGTTTGTGCTAAGACTCATAGCCCATGGACGAATCCATTTGCTTGCGCCCTGGGGGGGGGGGGTGTTTGTGCTAAGATGCATAGCCCATGGACGAATCCATTTGCGTGCGCCCTGGGGGGGGGGGGGGTGTTTGTGCTAAGACGCATAGCTCATGGACGAATCCATTTGCGTGCGGCCTGGGGGGGGGTGTTTGTGCTAAGACTCATAGCCCATGGACGAATCCATTTGCGTGCGCCCTGGGGGGGGGGGGGGGGTTGTTTGTGCTAAGATTCATAGCCCATGGACGAATCCATTTGCGTGCGCCCTGGGGGAAGGGGGGTGTTTGTGCTAAGACGCATAGCCCACGGACGAATCCATTTGCTTGCGCCCTGGGGGGGGGGGGGGGTGTTTGCGCTAAGATGCATAGCCCATGGACGAATCCATTTGCGTGCGCCCTGGGGGGGGGGTGTTTGTGCTAAGACTCATAGCCCATGGACGAATCCATTTGCTTGCGCCCTGGGGGGGGGGGGGGGGTGTTTGTGCTAAGACTCATAGCCCATGGACGAATCCATTTGCGTGCGCCCTGGGGGGAGGGGTTGTTTGTGCTAAGACTCATAGCCCATGGACGAATCCATTTGCGTGCGCCCTGGGGGGGGGGGGGTTGTTTGTGCTAAGACTCATAGCCCATGGACGAATCCATTTGCGTGCGCCCTGGGGGGGGGGGGGGGGGGTGTTTGTGCTAAGACTCATAGCCCATGGACGAATCCATTTGCTTGCGCCCTGGGGGGGGGGGGGTGTTTGTGCTAAGACTCATAGCCCATGGACGAATCCATTTGCTTGCGCCCTGGGGGGGGGGTGTTTGTGCTGTTGGTGGGGGCGTGCTCATACCCAGTTCAGTGACCCGCCGTGCGTCTTCATCTTCGTCGTTATCGCCTCTTCCTCCTCCTCCTTCAGCCGCCAAGATGTTCGGTCTGGGGCGCTTCGCTGGGAACTTGATCCAGGCGGTGGCGGGGTGAGTTTGCGTCTCTGTGCCATTGACGCGACCTTAATAGGAGCTCGCTAACGGTGTTGGTCGTGCCGTGCTGTAACGCGTGTGCGTGTGTGCGTGTCACCTTAATAGGATCTCGCAAACTCGTGGGTTGCTGTGTGTGTACTGTACTGTAACATGTGTACTGTACTGTAACATGCGTGTGTGTGTGTGTGTACGTGTGTGGCATTAATAGACATTGGCAAACGCGGGGAGCGGTGGCGCAGTGGTTAGCTCGCCACGTCTCGCCACCAACAGCGACGATTATCTCTGGACCGGTCCTGGGCCTCCCCCCTAGGTTGACTCGGCCTCAAATGAGTACCTGGTGGCGGTGTGTAGTAAACATCGCCACTGGGGGAGAGACAAAGGCGGCCGGGCGTGGTGCTGGCCACCCACCCCCCTCGTATTCCGTTCCGGCCTTAATAGGTGCTCGCTAACAGCACTTGCCCCTACAGTCTGTTAAGGCTATACGGGGGATCTTTGTGTGTGTGTGTGGGGAGCGGTGGTGCAACGGTTAGTGTTACACTACGAACCTGGCGACCCGAGTTCCATTCCCGCTCACGGCCAAAATCACCGACGATTATCTCTGAACCCGTCCTGGTCCTCCCCTAGGTCGACTCGGCCTCAAACGAGTACCTGGTGCGGTGTGTAGTAACTATCGCCACTGGGGAGACAAAGGCGGCCGGGCGTGGTGCTGGCCACCCACCCCCCCCCTCGTGTGCCGTGCCGGCCTTCATAGGTGCTGCTACTCGCTAACAGCACTTGCCCCTACAGTCTGTTAGAGGCTATATGGGGGAGCTTTGTCTTTGTGGCTACGTGTTTAGCATCGTAAGTCCTGCTGGGCTTGTCAAGAGAACCTGGCGTTCATAGCCCAGGGCATTGCTTTATACAGCAATGCCCCCACGCCCACCCTCAACTCAAAACAATCCACACAATTACGCAGGCATTGTAAGTGCATATTCTTAGGTTTTTTCGATAAAGTCGCGTAGGTAAAAAAATTAAATTAATAAAAGTTAAATGAAAAAAAAAATTACTTTGATTAATTTACATTTTTTACCTACGTGACTTTACCGAAAAAAACCTAAGAATATGAATCCTTGCAGTCACGAAAGCTTCAAATCTAGAATTGTAAGTGCACTTTGCATGTGGACGCACACGCGTGTGTGCGTGTGTGTTCGCGACCAATATCATCCATAATTGTGGGGTTGGATCGCGTAAATATATGAACGTGTCGTTAAACTCGGCACATCCACGCCTCTATATAAGGAAGGAAACAGGTGGACTTCTCCACATATCTGGCTGTCGCCTGATGAAGCTGGTTGTAATTATTGGCGAAACGTCGTGCTCCGATTGTGAATGTTGTGGCTTGGCTCTCCAACACACCGGTTAGTGCTGTACTAGTATACTACACTATATACTACACTATACACTACACTACTATACTACACTGTACACTACACTATACACTAGACTATACACTACTATACACTACACTACTATACACTACACTATACACTACACTATACACTACACACTACACTATACACTGCACTATACACTACTATACACTACACTATACACACTACACTATACACTACTATACACTACACTACTATACACTACACCACTATACACTACACATTTATATTTTTATTATTTTATTATTTCCCTTTTACGTGACTTTACCGAAAGAACCAAGAATATGAATCCCTGCAGTCGCGAAAGCTTTAAATCGAAATTTAGAGCCTTGTTGGTTTGCGTTGTTCACCATAAAAGTACCATGTGGTTTGAACACCTTAACACCATCCTGTTTTATTGCCAGAAAGGGTAGAAAACTATTCTTATTTTTCTCACAGCATGTAATGTTAGTTACCCATAACGTATCCAAAGTTGTAAACTGTTGTGATGCTTTGTTTCACCAAACCTGCGCTGGCTGATCGCTACATTTTAAACCTGTGCAGCGTCTCCGCTTGACGCAACGCACGAACGCAGTTGTGTGAGCCGAACATTGTTGCTGTTTTCTATCTCGTCTTCGGATGGATGCGTCGTCACGTGCCTTAAACTGTATCGCAAGCAAACCAAAGCAAACCACAAAGCTCTTGCCAATGACAGCAGGCGACGAGGCAGCCGTGGCTGACTCATGAGTCATTGGAGAAGGCAAAACACGAATCAAAACTAGACACGGGGGGAGTGGGGGATGATCCCATCCCACACAGACAAACGCAAATCCGTGGCTGGGTGAGACCAGGGTGGGATTAAAGTTCTTGCAGGGCAGGGGTGGGGAACGTCTGGCCCGCGGGCCGTACGAGGCCCGCGAAATCATCTGGTCTGGTCTGGCCCTGCCAAGGCAACCACAGGCAGGACTCGAAATTCAATAAATCTAGGAGCAAACCTGGAAAAGCAGTTGCGAGTAGCAGCAACATCATCAACACCAGCTAACATCATCACACGCCTCGCCAAAGAGAAGCAGTTCCAGCCATCACATTAGGGATGAGTTAATACTGGTAGGAACCACCTGGTTCCACCAGCCCACAGGGGATTATTGTGTCCGTCCGTCGTGCATCCAAAAATGGGTGGGGAGGGTGGGGAGGGGCTGGGTGGGGAGGGGAGGGTGGGGAGGGGCTGGTCACCCGGTGGTGCTCTTATAAAACTCAACGTTTAACCTAATCACGCCGGCTTGTGCCCGCCCTCACAGTCGGCCATATTTGCGGAATACACCACGCCGCCGTTGACCCTGGCCATTGACCGAGCAACCCAACGTTCCTACCAGCTCCCTCCGCAGGAATGTGTTTAAATGTTTGGCCAAATATAACCGGCAAATTTTTAAGTTGATAATTTAGTATGGCCCGCGAATGATGTTATTAATATCCAAATGGCCCTTGGCAGAAATAAGGTCCCCCACTCCTGTTGTAGGGGCTTGGGCACTTTTGTTTTGACGATGGCAACTCTGTAGAATCACGACTGTTACTCCGCTTGATTGTGCAAAAAAACAGCACTTCGAGATGTTTATTTTGCTGATTTTGGAACGGAATTTTTTTCTTTCTCAAACTTCATCCTCCGGTGTTTAATTTCTCTCTCGCCTTACGAAAAAAACCAGCGATTGACATGACTCTGCCTCTTTGTGTAAACACTGTGCCTGTCCTTGCTATTTATAAATATATTTATTCGAGGAAGGTATCTTGGTTACATTTCTTATAAAACAAACAAAAAACATGGTCACTTTTTTCGTAGGCCCTTCAGTTTTCATACCTACTGTGCCTATTTGATCATTATAATTGGCTAATACGGCCCTGGCGTGAGAATATTTTCGGTTTTATGGATTCATGAGCGTCTGTAGAAATGGGCGCTGACACTATCACGTACAAAGCCCCCACTCCGTGCGGTCGGTTAATCGGTCACGGTCGGATGCGCGACGTCGTACCATAATTCATGCATTCTCTCCCACACCGCTGTGCCCACCCCTCCCACCTTTTTCCCTCTCCACGCAGGGAGATTGGAGGGAACATCGGGCAGCAGTTCTTTCAGGTGAGCGGTCAGACCTTCGCACGGAGACTAATATCGTCGCAGCAGTCTGTGCGAGACGCCGCACGTCAGCCTGGCTTGGCTCTCGCAGGCGAGCAGGGCCGACGTAGGTGAATCGCGCGTGCGAGTTCGCACAGCCGACGTAGCTGACGGCGAACGCAGCCGACACGGCCAACTCACTCAAGTGCAGCTCCTCATGCGGCTGATGGAGCCAACGAGAGGTGACACGGCCGATAAAGCCACAACAGCCGATATAGCAAAGTCGACGCGCACACGCAACTGATGTAGTTGATGTAGGCCATGCAGCAGGTAAAACTGACACGGCCGTTACAACTGACATGACATGGCTGGTTACAACTGACACGGCCAGTACAACTGACACGGCCAGTACAACTGACACGGCCAGTACAACTGACACGGCCGACACAACTGACACAGCCAGTACAACTGACACGGCCAGTACAACTGACACGGCCAGTACAACTGACACGGCCAGTACAACTGACACAGCCGGTACAACTGACATGACACGGCCAGCACAACTGACACGTCCGGCACAACTGAGCATCTAAACCCGGGCGTATCGATCGGGGATGCTGGTGATCCGGCGCTTTGGAGGCTCCGGCGGATAGGAGGATCGCGTCAAGCTTTGTGAGAATGCCGCACACACGGCGGGTAGAAGGGGGCGAGAGGGGGAACTGTTGCCGTGGGTGACGACTGCTGACGAGGGGAGTGGCAGCCGAGGCGACGGGGCGTGCCCCGGAGGACGTCCCATCGCCGGAGACGGAGCGGTGAAATCCGCCCGTGCGCAGTTGCCCGCTGGATCGTCTGCCGTCGAAGAGATCAATCGGTGGATGATCGATCGAGGCTGGCCGGCTGATGCTGATGATGATTTGATGACTCGCATGATTTGTTGACGCGTTCAACGGAACTCGTGACGAACTTTCGGCGGCGCTCCGTGCAGCTTTGGGTCCCTGGCCGCCCGCCTCATCGCCCGCCCTGGTGGAGCAGCTGCTGCTTGCTGAGCTGAGCTTGGGATCTGGTTCCTACTCTCGTTGCTGTTTGGCTTTTTGGTTTTGCTGGAGGTTCTTGATGTTGGTTTCTGCTGTATCCTTTCTCCGTTGGTGGGCGGGCGTCTGTGTGTGTGTCTGTATAGGAGCGGCGGCGCAGCGGTTAGCGCTACGAACCCGGCGACCCGAGTTCGATTCTCGCTCACGGCCGACAGCGGCGACGATTATCTGAACCGGTCCTGGGCTCCCTCCCCCCCCCCGAGGTCGACTCAGCCTCAAATGAGTACCCGGGGCGGTGTGTAGTAAACATCGTCGCCGGGGAGACAAAGGCGGCCGGGCGTGGCGCTGGCCACCCACCCCCTCGTGCGCCGTGCCTGCCTTCATAGGCGCTGCTACTCGCTAACACCACTTGCCCCAACAGTCTGTGTGAGCTATAAGGGGGATCTTTGTCTGCATGGCTGTCTGTGCATGTCTCTGTCTCTCGACACTGTGCTCCCCCCACTCCCCCCCTACTTCCCCCTCTCCCTCTGCCTCTCTTCTCCGCCTGTCGCCTGTCGCCACCTCCACCAACGAGCAGATGATTGCCGACTCCTCCAATCAAGACAGCTGGGTACGTGAAGCTCCCTCCTTGCCCGGCTCCCTCCCCTAGCGGCGTCGTAGCCGGCGAGGGTGCAGGCGGTGCAACTGCACCAGGGCCCACGGGCCGGAGGGGTTCAGGTGCCGGGGAATGCACCGGAGCCCACGCCGATTACACTACGCCGCGGGGTTTAACTGTAGCGCATATATATTTTTTGTTCTTTCGGTAAAGTCATCACGTAGAAGGGAAATAATAAAATGATATTGATATAAAACAATAAAAATTCTCACGACGTTCCGACTGCAACACAAGCAATCGTCATCAGGTGTGAAATCCACAGCAAGAAAATGTTATATTTATATTATTTTATTGTTTCCTTTCTACGTGACTTTACCGAAAGAACCAAGAATATGAATCCCTGCAGTCACGAAAGCTTTAAATCGAAATGTAGTGCATATCACAAATTATTTTCACCAGGTAAGGCTCCGCTGAGCTATACAGGCATTTCGGAAGTGACCTGGCCATCGCAAACGATAGCTCAGCGAAACTTAAAGCAGCCAAATACCCTTGGAGCGCACGTTGATTCTAAATGTGGAGGGAAAACCCAGAGGAGCCAAAGAAAAATCCACACGACCATGGTGAGAGAGACACGCAAACTCAAAATATACAGCAGCAGGCGTCAGGGTCGGGATCGAACCCACGACCTCCTAAATACCAGGCGAGGTAGTTAACATCTCCTAGTCACCTGGAACCCACGACCTCCTGAATACCAGGCGAGGTAGTTAACATCTCCTAGTCACCTGGAACCCACGACCTCCTGCATACCAGGCGAGGTAGTTAACATCTCCTAGCCACCGTGATGATGATGATGAGAGAGACACGCAAACTCCAAATATACAGCAGCAGGCGTCAGGATTGAGATCGAACCCACGACCTCCTGTATACCAGGCGAGGTAGTTAACATTTCCTAGCCACCGTGATGATGATGATGAGATCGAAACGCAGACTTCAAATATACAGCAGCAGTCGTCAGGGTTGAAATCGAACCCACGACCTCCTGTATACCAGGCGAGGTAGTTAACATTTCCTAGCCAGCGTGATGATGATGAGATCGAGACGCAGACTCCAAATATACAGCAGCAGGCGTCAGGATTGAGATCGAACCCACGACCTCCTGTATACCAGGCGAGGTAGTTAACATTTCCTAGCCACCGTGATGATGATGATGAGATCGAAACGCAGACTCCAAATATACAGCAGCAGTCGTCAGGGTTGAAATCGAACCCACGACCTCCTGTATACCAGGCGAGGTAGTTAACATCTCCTAGCCAGCGTGATGATGATGAGATCGAGACGCAGACTCCAAATATACAGCAGCAGGCGTCAGGATTGAGATCGAACCCACGACCTCCTGTAGACCAGGCGAGGTAGTTAACATTTCCTAGCCAGCGTGATGATGATGAGATCGAGACGCAGACTCCAAATATACAGCAGCAGTCGTCAGGATTGAGATCGAACCCACGACCGCCTGTATACCAGGCGAGGTAGTTAACATTTCCGAAATTCCCTGGCGCTCGCTGCCCGCTGTTGGCTTGACATGTGCGCCTCCCATAATGCAGTGCGTGTGATAATATCGCTGTAGTGCCGCCTCTCACAATGCACTGTGTGTGGTGATGTCGCTGTAGTGCTGCCTCCCACAATGCACCGAGCTTGGTTATTTACACAATGCACCGCGCTTGGTGATGTCGCTGTCGTGCCACCTCCCATAATGCAGTGTGTGTGATGGAGCTGTAGTGCTGCCTCCCACAATGCACCGAGCTTAGTTATTTACACAATGCACCACGCTTGGTGATGTCGCTGTCGTGCCACCTCCCATAATGCAGTGTGTGTGATGGAGCTGTAGTGCTGCCTCCCACAATGCACCGAGCTTGGTTATTTACACAATGCACCACGCTTGGTGATGTCGCTGTCGTGCCACCTCCCATAATGCAGTGTGTGTGATGGAGCTGTAGTGCTGCCTCCCACAATGCCCAGCGCTTGGTGATGTAGCTGTAGTGCCGCCTCCCACAATGCACAGCGCTTGGTGATGTAGCTGTAGTGCCGCCTCCCACAATGCAGTGTGTGTGATGGAGCTATAATGTCGCGTCCCACAATGCACTGCGCTTGGTGCTGTAGCTATCGTAGTGCCGACAATATCCTATTAAAATGAAGGAATGACCCACACACAATAGTTGCAATAATTTTGCTTTAATATTACTCGTATTTGCTTGCAGACTGCACGCACTGTCTGTCTAATGCGTCTCATCTCAAGAGTGTTAGAATGGGTTTATTGACGTACTGCAAATGATGGCAGTGACGATTGAACAATTTGACCCTTTTGTGTTGGATCGTAGTGTATGTATCTTGACTGTTTTTTTTAAATCCTTTATATTAAGTTCACTTGCTTGCTTGCGCGCTTACGACCGTGCAAATCTTTCGGTCGTTTTTTAACCCACTTCCCGTGATCCAATCGAGCTGACATTTTGCACACAGACTCGTTGTGCGTGACAATTTATTTTCGTGAACATTCTTTTCCAAAATGTTAGACCTTTTAGGAAATTTTTTAAAATATTTAATTACCAATTGCTTAATGGTGGCAGGCAATCATCTGACCCATAGGTGGCAGCCATCTCAAGCCAGAGGACGAGAGGACTCTAGCCGCCACGCATATAAAGGATTTATAGTGAAAAACTTTGTTTTTACGGATTAATTTATAGCGATAAACCTCCACCAGCCGACAGAGCCAATCTAATCAAGTTGCCGCCTGATGGGGCAAATGCAGCGCGTCCGTTGATGCGGTTCATCGGCTACGTACGGTGGGTAAGACGGTCAACGTACGTACGCACAGGAGGGGCGTGCAAAAGCCCCAGCAAAATTTCGATTTAAAGCTTTCGTGACTGCAGGGATTCATCTTCTTGGTTCTTTCGGTAAAGTCACGTGACTTTACCGAAAGAACCAAGAAGATGAATCCCAGCAAAATGTTTGACAGTTGTACTCATGGACGACGTTTTGCTAGAGATCAGAGGTCGCAACCGGGTACCCGATACCCGTACCCTACCCGATACCCGTGACGGGTACGGGTACCCGTTTGCGACCCTGGTGCGGCCGGGTACGGGTAGGCTGTGAGTCACCGGCGAGTTACCGTTTGTCACTCATTTCGGGTAGGGTACGGGTACGGGTAGGAAACGGGTACCCGTTTGCGACCCTGGTGCGGCCGAGTACGGGTAAGGAATCAAAACCCGTTTGCGACCTCTGCTGGAGATTGCAATTCAGCATCGTCAGGTGAGAGTAACGGCTGCCGCCAGAGGGCGCCACGGTCACTTCAACTTCGAGAGCCCGTGGCAGCTCTAGGTGGCTCGGCCATCCGTGGCGGAGTGACAGAATCACACACGGTACACACATACACACGTTACACACACACACGGTAAATACATACACGGTACACATACTGGGGAGCCGGGAGTGGTTCTGAACACCCACCCCCTCGTGTGCCGTGCCGGCCTTCATAGGTGCTACTCGCTAACAGCACTTGCCCCGAGAGTCTGTGATGGCTACACGGGGGATCTTTGTCTTTGTGTCAATGTCTGTCGTTTACATTGTTGCAGCCCCCGAAGGTTCAGCCGACCCTGCAGAGCGATGAAGACGCTCAGTTTCGTCGCGTGTTCACCCAGCTCGCCGGGGAGGTACAGTACACACACGCAGTACACACACGGTACACGCACACACGGTACACACACACACGTTACACACACACACGGTACACACATACACGGTACACACACACGTTACACACACACGGTACACACACGGTACACACACACACGGTACACACACGGTACACACGTTACACACACACGGTACGCACACACACGGTACACACACACACGGTACACACACACACGGTACACACACGGTACAAATACACGGTACACACACATACGGTACACACACACACCCGGTACACACATACACGGTACGTACACACATGCAGTGCACACACACACGGTACACACACACACGGTACACACACACACGGTACACACACACACGTTACACACACACACGTTACACACACACGGTACACACACGGTACACATACACGGTACACACACACACGGTACACACACACACCCGGTACACACATACACGGTACGTACACACATGCAGTGCACACACACACGGTACACACATGCAGTGCACACACACGGATTGTTAAAAATAAATATCTTCTGGACGCTCTTTCGTAAGCGTGGATGTTTGCAAGTCGGGGACTGTCCATACTCATCGATTTGATTTGGTCTGCGTAACGACCTGCTGTGTCCATCTCCTGGGCATCCCCTAGGACATGGAGATCAGCCCTGGGGAGCTGCAGGGAGTCCTGAACAAGGTGGTCACCAAACGTGAGTGACCGCACACACGCAGACAAAGGTCCCCCGCGTAGCCTCAACAGACTGTTGGGGCAAGTGCTGTTAGCGAGCGGCACCTGTGAAGGCCGGCGCCGTGGCACACGGGGGGTTGGTGTGACCAGCGCCACGCCCGGCCGCCTTTGTCTCCCCAGTGCTGAAGATTACGCGCGGCACCAGCTACTCGTTTAGGGCCGAGTCTACCTAGGGGAGGCCCAGAACCAGTTCAAATATTCACGGATGATGCTGGCCATGGCGAGGGATCGTAGTGCAGCGCGCTAACCAATATGCCACCGAAAGAAGTTGAACATAACATACATAAACTTACACACAGACTCCTCGCACAGAGACCCATAGACTCCTCACACAGAGACCCATAGACTCCTCACACAGAGACCCATAGACTCCTCGCACAGAGACACATAGACTCATCACACAGAGACCCATAGACTCATCACACAGAGACCCATAGACTCCTCGCACAGAGACCCATAGACTCATCGCACAGAGACCCATAGACTCCTCGCACAGAGACCCATAGACTCCTCACACAGAGACCCATAGACTCCTCGCACAGAGACCCATAGACTCCTCGCACAGAGACCCATAGACTTCTCGCACAGAGACCCATAGACTCACTCACACAGAGACCCATAGACTCATCGCACAGAGACCCATAGACTCATCGCACAGAGACCCACAGACTCACCATACAGAGACCCGTAGACTCATCGCACAGAGACCCATAGACTCATCGCACAGAGACCCATAGACTCATCGCACAGAGACCCACAGACTCATCGCACAGAGACCCATTGACTCATCACACAGAGAACCATAGACTCATCGCACAGAGACCCACAGACTCATCGCACAGAGACCCATTGACTCATCACACAGAGACCCATAGACTCATCGCACAGAGACCCATAGACTCATCGCACAGAGACCCATAGACTCCTCACACAGAGACCCATAGACTCCTCACACAGAGACCCATAGACTCCTCGCACAGAGACACATAGACTCATCACACAGAGACCCATAGACTCATCACACAGAGACCCATAGACTCCTCGCACAGAGACCCATAGACTCCTCGCACAGAGACCCATAGACTCATCGCACAGAGACCCATAGACTCCTCGCACAGAGACCCATAGACTCCTCACACAGAGACCCATAGACTCCTCGCACAGAGACCCATAGACTCCTCGCACAGAGACCCATAGACTTCTCGCACAGAGACCCATAGACTCACTCACACAGAGACCCATAGACTCATCGCACAGAGACCCATAGACTCATCGCACAGAGACCCATAGACTCATCGCACAGAGACCCACAGACTCATCGCACAGAGACCCACAGACTCATCGCACAGAGACCCACAGACTCATCGCACAGAGACCCATAGACTCATCACACAGAGAACCATAGACTCATCGCACAGAGACCCACAGACTCATCGCACAGAGACCCATTGACTCATCACACAGAGACCCATAGACTCATCGCACAGAGACCCATAGACTCATCGCACAGAGACCCACAGACTCATCGCACAGAGACCCACAGACTCATCGCACAGAGACCCACAGACTCATCGCACAGAGACCCATAGACTCATCACACAGAGAACCATAGACTCATCGCACAGAGACCCATAGACTCATCGCACAGAGACCCACAGACTCATCGCACAGAGACCCACAGACTCATCGCACAGAGACCCACAGACTCATCGCACAGAGACCCATAGACTCATCACACAGAGAACCATAGACTCATCGCACAGAGACCCACAGACTCATCGCACAGAGACCCACAGACTCATCGCACAGAGACCCACAGACTCATCGCACAGAGACCCATAGACTCATCGCACAGAGACCCACAGACTCATCGCACAGAGACCCACAGACTCATCGCACAGAGACCCATAGACTCCTCGCACAGAGACCCATAGACTCATCGCACAGAGACCCATAGACTCCTCGCACAGAGACCCATAGACTCCTCACACAGAGACCCATAGACTCACTCGCACAGAGACCCATAGACTCCTCGCACAGAGACCCACAGACTCATCGCACAGAGACCCATTGACTCATCACACAGAGACCCATAGACTCATCGCACAGAGACCCATAGACTCATCGCACAGAGACCCACAGACTCATCGCACAGAGACCCACAGACTCATCGCACAGAGACCCACAGACTCATCGCACAGAGACCCATAGACTCATCACACAGAGAACCATAGACTCATCGCACAGAGACCCATAGACTCATCGCACAGAGACCCATAGACTCATTGCACAGAGACCCATAGACTCATCGCACAGAGACCCATAGACTCATCGCACAGAGACCCATAGACTCATCGCACAGAGACCCACAGACTCACCACACAGAGACCCATTGACTCATTACACAGAGACCCATAGACTCATCGCACAGAGACCCATAGACTCATCGCACAGAGACCCACAGACTCATCGCACAGAGACCCATAGACTCATCGCACAGAGACCCATAGACTCCTCGGACAGAGACTCATAGACTCACCGCACAGAGACCCATAGACTCACCGCACAGAGACCCATAGACTCATCGCACAGAGACCCATAGACTCATCGCACAGAGACCCATAGACTCATCGCACAGAGACCCATAGACTCATCGCACAGAGACCCACAGACTCACCACACAGAGACCCATAGACTCATCGCACAGAGACCCATAGACTCATCGCACAGAGACCCATAGACTCATCGCACAGAGACCCACAGACTCACCGCACAGAGACCCATAGACTCATCGCACAGAGACCCATAGACTCATCGCACAGAGACCCATAGACTCATCACACAGAGACCCATTGACTCATTGCACAGAGACCCATAGACTCACCACACAGAGACCCACAGACTCACCACACAGAGACCCATTGACTCATCACACAGAGACCCACAGACTCATCACACAGAGACCCATAGACTCATCACACAGAGACCCACAGACTCATCGCACAGAGACCCACAGACTCATCGCACAGAGACCCATAGACTCATCACACAGAGACCCATAGACTCATCGCACAGAGACCCACAGACTCACCACACAGAGACCCATAGACTCATCGCACAGAGACTCATAGACTCATCGCACAGAGACCCATTGACTCATCACACAGAGACCCATAGACTCACCACACAGAGACCCATAGACTCACCACACAGAGACCCACAGACTCACCACACAGAGACCCATTGACTCATCACACAGAGACCCACAGACTCACCACACAGAGACCCATAGACTCACCACACAGAGACCCACAGACTCACCACACAGAGACCCATTGACTCATCACACAGAGACCCACAGACTCATCACACAGAGACCCACAGACTCACCACACAGAGACCCATAGACTCATCACACAGAGACCCACAGACTCATCGCACAGAGACCCACAGACTCACCACCCATAGTTTGTTGTCCTTCCCCCGCACCTCCGATTAGCACGGTTTGGCTACGTACGGCACGAAAGAAGTCCCACATACACACGATACATACATCAACAGACAGGTGCGGTTCACGAGCACTTATAAAGTTCAACGTACGGACATGCGTGCGTATTCAACGTATCAAAAACAAATTGCATAAAAAAATGAAAAAGATATAATAACAATTTTTTTGGAAAAGATGAGGCTCAACGGTGACTTGCTGAGGAGCAAAGTGACGGTGCCGGAGCGCTAAAGTTGATCGCTCTGGCTGAGTCCAGGGGTGTTCGATGTCACCGTGCGGTCGTCTTCGTGTTCATTCAGACCGCGACCTCAAGACGGACGGGTTCAGCATCGAGTCGTGCCGCAGCATGGTGGCGCTCATGGACGTATCCTGACTCAGCGGGGACACAACAACACAACAACAACACGACAACACAACAACAACAACACAACACGGCACAACACAACAACAACGCGACAACAATACGACAACGACACGGCAACACGGCACAACACATGATGACACGACACAACACGACAACACACGATAACACAACAACAACACGACACAATGACAACAACACAACACGGCACAACAACACGACAACAACACGGCACAACGACACGGCAACGACACAACACGACAACACGGCACAACGACACGGCATGACACAACAACACGACACAATGACAACAACACAACACGGCACAATAACACGACAACAACACGGCACAACGACACGGCATGACACAACAACACGACACAACGACACGGCAACGATACAACACGACAACACAACAATACGGCATGACATAACGACATGGCATGACGCAACAACACGACACAACAACACGACAACAACACGACAACACCATGGCACAACGACACGGCATGACATAACGACACGACACAACACGACGTGACGCAATGACATGCCCACAACCCTCACCCTAACAAAATGCCACGGCACAAAATGGCACGGCACGGCACCACGTGACACAACGCTACACAAAACAACTCAACGACGCGTGACGTTGCCAAGACTCGTCGCGACACAGAGCGTGCGCGCGCGCTGAGTAACGCGAACGACGCGACAGCGAGGGGCGGATAAATCGGCGTGACGCGCGACGCGGCGGCACAGCTCGATGGGAGAGCCCCGAGTGGCGGTGGCGGCTCCCTGCCGTCGTGAAGCCGATTGACCCTTGACCTTCGAGCGCAGTCGGACGGCACGGGGAAGCTGGGCTACGAGGAGTTCAAGATCCTGTGGAACAAGATCAAGGGCTGGCAGGTGAGGCCGTGCGTGCGTGCGTGCGTTCGTGCGTGCGAATGTCGCGGGGAGTGGTGGCGCAGCGGTTGGCGCGCCGCGCTACGTTCCCGGCGGCCCGAGTCGGATTCCCGCAGGCAATCTGGTCGGCAGGCCGAACGCGATCCACTTGCGCGACGCACTCGGGGAGCGCGTCGCGCGTGTGGGGAGCGGTGCCGCAGCTGCACTGTCGACCCGCTCACGGCCAATACCGGTGACGATTATCTGAACCGGTCGTGGGCCTCCCCCTAGGTCGACTCGGCCTCAAACGAGTACCTGGAGCGGTGTGTTGTAGACATCGGCACTGGGGAGACAAAGGCGACCGGGCGTGGTGCTGACCACCCACCCCCTCGTGTGCCGTGCCGGCCTTCATAGGTGCTAACAGCACTTGCCCCAACGGTATGTCGAGGCTATACGGGGGATCTTTGTCTTTGCAGACTCTGTACAAGCAGTACGACGCAGACCGCAGTGGTGCCATGTCGGCATCGGAGCTGGGACCCGCCCTGGCAGCCGCCGGTACGGGATGGCACGCACACATGCAGACACGCACGCACACACTTACACGCACACACGTACACACACGCATGTACACGCACGCACAAGCATACGCACGCACGTATATATGCAGACACGCACGCACGCAACAACAACAACAACCGCCATTCGCCACTAAGTGGCGAATGGCGGTTGTTGTGTGTGTGACTCTGTGTGACTGTATGTGTGTGACTGTGTGTGTGTGTGACTCTGCGTCTTTATGTTTGTGCCCAGGCTTCAGGCTGAATGATCAGCTGCTACGCGTCATCACGCTGTGACTGTGTGTGTGTGTGTGTGACTCTGTGACTGTGTGTGTGTGTGACTCTGTGTATGTAACTGTGTGTGTGTGTGACTCTGTGTATGTGACTGTGTGTGTATGTGTGACTGTGTGTGTGTGTGACTGTTGCCCAGGCTTCAGGCTGAACGATCAGCTGTTGCGCGTCATCACGCTCCGCTACGCGGAGGAGGACGGCAACGTCGACTTCGACAACTTCATCTGCTGCCTCGTCCGCCTGGAGGCCATGTTCCGTACGTACGCGCACAGACAAAGATCCCCCGTGCGGCCTCACACAGACTGTCGGGGCAAGTGCTGTTAGCGAGTAGCAGCGCTTGTGAAGGCCGGCACGGCATGTTCCGTACGTACGCGCACAGACAAAGACCCCCCGTGCGGCCTCACACAGACTGTCGGGGCAAGTGCTGTTAGCGAGTAGCAGCGCCTGTGAAGGCTGGCACGGCATGTTCTGTACGTACGCGCACAGACAAAGACCCCCCCGTGCGGCCTCACACAGACTGTCGGGGCAAGTGCTGTTAGCGAGTAGCAGCGCTTGTGAAGGCCGGCACGGCATGTTCCGTACGTACGCGCACAGACAAAGACCCCCCGTGCGGCCTCACACAGACTGTCGGGGCAAGTGCTGTTAGCGAGTAGCAGCGCCTGTGAAGGCTGGCACGGCATGTTCTGTACGTACGCGCACAGACAAAGACCCCCCCGTGCGGCCTCACACAGACTGTCGGGGCAAGTGCTGTTAGCGAGTAGCAGCGCTTGTGAAGGCCGGCACGGCATGTTCCGTACGTACGCGCACAGACAAAGACCCCCCCGTGCGGCCTCACACAGACTGTCGGGGCAAGTGCTGTTAGCGAGTAGCAGCGCCTGTGAGGGCTGGCACGGCATGTTCCGTACGTACGCGCACAGACAAAGACCCCCCGTGCGGCCTCACACAGACTGTCGGGGCAAGTGCTGTTAGCGAGTAGCAGCGCCTGTGAGGGCTGGCACGGCATGTTCCGTACGTACGCGCACAGACAAAGACCCCCCGTGCGGCCTCACACAGACTGTCGGGGCAAGTGCTGTTAGCGAGTAGCAGCGCCTGTGAGGGCTGGCACGGCATGTTCCGTACGTACGCGCACAGACAAAGACCCCCCGTGCGGCCTCACACAGACTGTCGGGGCAAGTGCTGTTAGCGAGTAGCAGCGCCTGTGAAGGCTGGCACGGCATGTTCCGTACGTACGCGCACAGACAAAGACCCCCCCCGTGCGGCCTCACACAGACTGTCGGGGCAAGTGCTGTTAGCGAGTAGCAGCGCCTGTGAAGGCTGGCACGGCATGTTCTGTACGTACGCGCACAGACAAAGATCCCCCGTGCGGCCTCACACAGACTGTCGGGGCAAGTGCTGTTAGCGAGTAGCAGCGCCTGTGAAGGCTGGCACGGCATGTTCCGTACGTACGCGCACAGACAAAGACCCCCCGTGCGGCCTCACACAGACTGTCGGGGCAAGTGCTGTTAGCGAGTAGCAGCGCCTGTGAAGGCTGGCACGGCATGTTCCGTACGTACGCGCACAGACAAAGACCCCCCGTGCGGCCTCACACAGACTGTCGGGGCAAGTGCTGTTAGCGAGTAGCAGCGCCTGTGAAGGCTGGCACGGCATGTTCCGTACGTACGCGCACAGACAAAGACCCCCCGTGCGGCCTCACACAGACTGTCGGGGCAAGTGCTGTTAGCGAGTAGCAGCGCTTGTGAAGGCCGGCACGGCATGTTCCGTACGTACGCGCACAGACAAAGACCCCCCGTGCGGCCTCACACAGACTGTCGGGGCAAGTGCTGTTAGCGAGTAGCAGCGCTTGTGAAGGCCGGCACGGCATGTTCCGTACGTACGCGCACAGACAAAGACCCCCCGTGCGGCCTCACACAGACTGTCGGGGCAAGTGCTGTTAGCGAGTAGCAGCGCCTGTGAAGGCCGGCACCGTGGCACGCGAGGGGATCGGTGGCCGGCACAACGCCGAAAAGTGTTTTGGTTTGGCCATGTTTGTTTGTTGTAGTACAGAGTTAGACTGATGGCCTTAATCTAAGCTGTCTTGTAGTTGTTATTGTTGCTTGACTTGCAATCCACTGGGATTTTTGCACACGGTGTTGGTGTACGGTGATTTTTCTGCAATATTTTGCTGTCTTTTCTTGGATTTTCTGTTTGCACATAGTCACTTTAAGATGTTTTCTTGTTCATGTTTTTGTTTTCTGTTTGTTGCGGTTGCACCCGATTCAAGAGCCGAATGGCTCACAGGGCTACACCTAATACATGAACTTGAAACTTGAGGCCGCCTTTGTCTCCCCAGTGGCGATGTTTACTACACGCCGCACCGGGTACTCGTTTGAGGCTGAGTCGACCTAGGGGAGGCCCCGGGACTGGTTCAGATAATCGTCACCGGTGTTGGCCGTGAGAGATGTCCGTAGGGCAGCTACGGCACCGCTCCCCACCCCGCTTGCGTGCGTCGCGAGCGTGAGCACCGATGTTGTAGCAGTGGATTGCTTTGGGCCTGCTGAGCAGGTGGTGTCTGGGGTCGAGGTTGGTTGGGGAACCCGTCTGCTTACCGAGAGCGTCCACCCGGGCAGCCCCCGGGTGGACGATCGCATGCAGGCTCGTCCCAATAACGATCGCGAAAGATAACGCGATCGTTATTAGAGAAGCGGCCCGGTGCCGGACAGAGTCTCTGACAGAGTTCCTGATAGTCTCTGACAGAGTTCCTGACAGTTCCTGACAGTTCCTGATGGAGTTCCTGATAGAGTTCCTGATGGAGTTCCTGATAGAGTTCCTGACAGAGTTCCTGACAGAGTTCCTGACAGAGTTCCTGATGGAGTTCCTGACAGAGTTCCTGACAGAGTTCCTGACAGAGTTCCTGATGGAGTTCCTGACAGAATTCCTGACAGAATTCCTGACAGAGTTCCTGACAGAGTTCCTGATAGAGTTCCTGACAGAGTCCCTGACAGAGTTCCTGACAGAGTTCCTGACAGAATTCCTGACGGAGTTCCTGACAGAGTTCCTGACAGAGTTCCTGATGGAGTTCCTGACAGAATTCCTGACAGAGTTCCTGACAGAGTTCCTGATGGAGTTCCTGACAGAATTCCTGACAGAGTTCCTGACAGAGTTCCTGATGGAGTTCCTGACAGAGTTCCTGACAGAGTTCCTGATGGAGTTCCTGACAGAATTCCTGACAGAATTCCTGACAGAGTTCCTGACAGAGTTCCTGATAGAGTTCCTGACAGAGTTCCTGACAGAGTTCCTGATGGAGTTCCTGATAGAGTCCTTGATGGAGTTCTTGACAGAGTTCCTGACAGAGTTCCTGATGGAGTTCCTGACAGAATTCCTGACAGAGTTCCTGACAGAGTTCCTGATAGAGTTCCTGACAGAGTTCCTGACAGAGTTCCTGATAGAGTTCCTGATAGAGTTCCTGATAGAGTCCCTGACAGAGTTCCTGACAGAGTTCCTGACAGAGTTCCTGATAGTTCGGGACTAGAGTTGCGGACCGTGGCGCCAGCGTGGCGACGTCGTCCCGTGTGACCGCGTGTTTGTGCCGCAGGCGCCTTCCAAGCTCACAACCGGGATGGGGACGGCACCATCAAGCTGAACGTGCTGGAGGTGAGGGACAGGGGGGGGGAGGGAGGGGGGGGAGGGGATCCGCTTGTTTGTTTCTCATCAGCATCATCAGCGACCCATCGTCAGTGTATCCATCATCATCAGCATCGTCATTATCATAATCTCTCTCATCATCATCACCATCGGTGTCTCATCATCATCACCATCAATGCCTCATCATCATTATAATCTATGTCTCATCATCATCAGCATTTCACTATCATTACCGTCATGATTACCATCATCATCATCAGCTCGTCAAGGAGCTTAAATCATCACGCAAACTCCGGCCATCCTCGTAGCGGCTTTGGGCTCACCGTCGAGCAAAGACGGTGGTCACCGCGACGCACGGCGCTTTCAGATGCCCTTTTTTCGGCCGTCTGGAACGCTCTTCCTCGCGATATTGGGAAGCCACTGCGGGCTATGGAAATTGTACTGGTAGGAACCTCCTGGTCACACCAGCCCACAGGGGATTATTGTGTCCGTCCGTCCGTCGTGCAGGGAGGGGCTGGGTGGGGAGGGTGGGGCTGGATGGGGAGGGGCCGGGTGGGGAGGGGCTGGGTGGGGAGGGTTGGGGGTGGGAGGGGTGGGGCTGGGTGGGGAGGGGCTGGTCACCCCGTGGTGCCCTTGTGAAACTCAACGTTTAAACTACTCACGCCGGCTTGTGCCCGCCCTCACAGTCGGGCATATTTTCGGAATACACCACGCCGCCGTTGACCCTGCAGGCCATTGACCGAGCAACCCAACGTTCCTACCAGCAGCTCCCTCCGCAGGAATGTGTTAAATCATCGAGATTGACAAACTCATTTCTTTAGAAACGCTTTTGGTGTTTAGTTTGTTGTCCTTCCCCCCCAACCCCCCGCCGCACCTCCGATTAGAACGGTTGGCTACGTACGGCACCAAAGAAGTTCAACACACACACACGTGCACACCATCACAGCCGGTGTCATCATCGTCAGCGTCTCATCGCCATCTTCACCGGTGTCGTCATTGTGCCCTGCGACAAACGTTTTGTCTGTGGCTGAAAACGCCCAAGTGCTGACGTGGACTCCCGTGTGTCGTCGACAGTGGCTGCAGCTCACCATGTACGCCTGAGGGCCGCTGAAGAGGAGGAGGCACGGGGAGAGGGGGGGGGGCAGGGGAGAGGGGGGCGGCACCATGGCCGCCCCGGAGCAAGTGGCCAGGAGGTCCGCCATCTGCACGCACGCACAGCTACATGCACGCACGCACGCGCGCGCATACACACGCACGCACATACACACGTACGCGTGTACACACGTACACATGCGCACACACACGTACACACACACGCACACACAGCTACATGCTTGCACGCACGCGCATACACACGCACGCACATACACACGTACGCGTGCACACACGTACACACACACATGCACGGCGACGGACACGCACGGATACGTACACGCGTTAAGACGCAGACAGGCAAAGATATCCCCACGCACGTACATATTGTATGCAGGCACACGCAAAGACAAACATCCCCCGCGTAAATGTCGATTTAAAGCTTTCGTGACTGCAAGGATTCATCTTCTTGGTTCTTTCGGTAAAGTCACGTAGAAGGAAAATAATAAAAGAATGAAAGTAAAATTGTATTTTAATATGTTTATTTTATTGTATTATTTCCCTTCTACGTGACTTTACCGAAAGAACCAAGAAAATATCCCCCGTATAGTCAGGGAAAGAGCTGTGAGCGAGCACCTATTAAGGCCGGCATGGCACTCGACGGGGTGGGTGGTCAACACCACGCCTGGCCGTCTTTGTATCCCCAGGTTACTAATTTAAGGCTCAGGACAGGTTTGGATAATTGCTATTGTTCTGAGCTCGGGTTACCGAGTTCATAGTGCAGTGCGCTAACCACTGCGCCACTGTTCTGTGAGTGCGTGTGCACGGACAAAGACCAAGACAAAAATCCCCCGTATAGCCTTAACGGGCTGTTGGGGCTAGTGCTGTTAGCGAGCATCTTTGAAGGGACACACGGACACACACCGTTACACACGCACACATTCACACGTGCAGCTAAATGCTTACAGACGCACGCAGTCAGTTGCATGCGCCTAATGCAGTGCGGAAAAACGCTCTCGCGCGCGCACAAACACGTACACTCCGCACGCTCTCATCATTCGTGCTCGTAAGCTTACACGTCATTCGCCGGGTCACGTGACCACCGCGATGGTCACGTGACCACCGCGATGGTCACGTGACCACCGCGGCCATTACCGAGGTCGTGAGTTTCAGCCGCCTCTGGTTAAATGGGATTTTAAAGGTCGAGAGAGAGGGAGAGACGAGAGAGGGGGAGAGACGAGAGAGAGGGAGAGAGGCGAGGGGTCGATGGTGGTGACTGGAGGGACACGGCGAGCACTGAGACCGCACCGACGTGCGGGCTAGCGCTCTTCGTTTGAAGCGAGGAGGCGTGCGTCAAGAGTCGTTGACCACCATTGTAAATATTAAGAGACGTCTCGGAGAGAATTTCGGTAGTGGGATGGGTGAGGGGGGCGAGGGGGGGGGGGGGCGGCCGGCGTTTTTCCGACAGCAAGAGTCAAACTGAGCAAGTGCCAAACGTCGAGAGAGTTGCCATTGCCTCACCCCGCGACTGCCGTGCTACCGCCGTGTTACCGTCGCGTTATCGCCAGGCTACGGCCACGTTACCATCGCGTTATCGCCAGGCTACGGCCACGTTACCATCGCGTTATCGCCAGGCTACGGCCTCACCCCGACGCCACGTGTCACTCGCCCTCGGGGCAGACGAGGTGACTCAGCAGTGACTGCTGCTGCTGCTGCTCCCTCAATCGTGACTCCCCTCCCCGGCTGCTTTGCCCCGGGCGCAAACTCAACGCGTTTCGTCGATAGCACCTCGGTGACTTTGTCGTTAAAGGTAAACAACAACAACAACAAAAACCAGAACTGTTTGAGCGACGTGTCGGGCAATGGCAACAGCCGACGCAAAAATATGCGGCGATGGCTTTTTTATTACTGCTGTCAAGAAGAGATTCCTGAAACCTTTTTTTTTGCCTGAGATATTTTGTTCCCTCGGATGTGATTGATCCATCGTAGGTTTGTAGGTTAGATCAGGTAAATATGAATGTGTCGTCAGACCCGACACACAGCCAATTAGAAAGCTTTGTCACGTAAACAAAACGAAGCGTGCCAATTCGTTACTCGTTCAGCACTCACCCGTTGCGTGTTGGAGAGTGAAGCCGCTACAACATTTACAATTCGGGTAGCCGTGACGTTTTGCCGGAAATTAACACATTCCTCCTGCGGAGGGAGCTGGTAGGAACGTTGGGTTGCTCGGTCAATGGCCAGGGTCAACGGCGGCGTGGTGTATTCCACAAATATGGCCGACTGAGGGCGGGCACAAGCCGGCGTGAGTAGGTTAAACCTTGAGTTTTATAAGGGCACCACGGGGTGACCAGCCCCTCCCCACTCAGCCCCACCCCTCCCACCCCCACCCAGCCCCACTCCTCCCATTTTTGGATGCACGACGAACTGACGGACACAATGATCCCCTGTGGGCTGGTGTAACCAGGAGGTTCCTACCAGTACAATGACGAGCAGCAGCAGCAGCAGCAGCATCATTGGGTGAGAGCCAGAGAGATGTGGAGAAATCCTCTCTGCTGTTGAGGTCTCAAATAGACACGGGCTGGGATGCATGTGATGTCGTCGCTTGTGAGCCCATCGAGTGCAAATGCCAGAAGAGGGGTGAGCGAGGGTTGATGTATGCATATAAATTACAAATGTATATCCATTACCGGTTGGGTTATTCAAAATGTGGTTGAGTTGTTAATTTGTGCACCACTGCCAACAGCAGCAGCAGCAGCATCACAACAAATGTCATTCCTGTTTGAGGTGCCAGCCAAGTGATGTCACGAGCTCTACCCGATTGGCCTCCCACAGTCACGTGACCGGAGCATCTCTTGTGTGTGTGTGTGACGAGTCACGTGACTGGAGGATCTATCCGTGCGGCTCTTGAAAGTTTGTCGTGTTTATCGAGCCCCCAATAAACGTCTCTTCTTGCCACTTTTGGTTTTCCGTCCCCCTCCACCGGTCGGGTGACTGCCCGTGTCGCCGCGGTTTGAGTTGCGACGCAGTGCGGCCGCTGCAGCTGTGCACAGGTGGCCGCCGGTTCCACCGGGCGGGGAAAGCCAAGGGTCTCCGGCGAGCACCGGCGAGCACCGGCACGGGCGGCGCGAGAGTGCGGTGGTTGACAACCGTCCCGGCGGTTTTGCCGCGGTCGGCGTTGGGACGCAAGCTGCCGCTCGCCGGCCCCGGTCGAACCATCGGTCTCCTTCCCCAGAGACATTAGAAGCCTCACTATGAGACATCTCCTTTACCACTGTGAGACATCTCCTTTACCACTATGAGACATCTCCTTTACCACTGAGACATCTCCTTTACCGCTATGAGACATCTCCTTTACCACTATGAGACATCTGCTTTACCGCTATAAGACATCTCTTTTACCACTATGAGACATCTCCTTTACCACTGAGACATCTCCTTTACCACTATGAGACATCTCCTTTACCACTATGAGACATCTCCTTTACCACTATGAGACATCTCCTTTACCACTGTGAGAATCTCCTTTACCACTATGAGACATCTCCTTTACCACTATGAGACATCTCCTTTACCACTATGAGACATCTCCTTTACCACTATGAGACATCTCCTTTACCACTATGAGACATCTCCTTTACCACTATGAGACATCTCCTTTACCACTATGAGACATCTCCTTTACCACTATGAGACATCTCCTTTACCGCTATGAGACATCTCCTTTACCACTATGAGACATCTCCTTTACCGCTATGAGACATCTCCTTTACCACTATGAGACATCTCTTTTACCACTATGAGACATCTCCTTTACCACTATGAGACATCTCCTTTACCACTGTGAGACATCTCCTTTACCACTATGAGACATCTCCTTTACCACTGAGACATCTCCTTTACCACTATGAGACATCTCCTTTACCACTATGAGACATCTCCTTTACCACTGTGAGACATCTCCTTTACCACTATGAGACATCTCCTTTACCACTATGAGACATCTCCTTTACCGCTATGAGACATCTCCTTTACCACTATGAGACATCTCCTTTACCGCTATGAGACATCTCCTTTACCACTATGAGACATCTCCTTTACCGCTATGAGACATCTCCTTTACCACTATGAGACATCTCCTTTACCGCTATGAGACATCTCCTTTACCACTATGAGACATCTCCTTTACCACTATGAGACATCTCCTTTACCGCTATGAGACATCTCCTTTACCACTATGAGACATCTCCTTTACCACTATGAGACATCTCCTTTACCGCTATGAGACATCTCCTTTACCACTATGAGACATCTCCTTTACCACTATGAGACATCTCCTTTACCACTATGAGACATCTCCTTTACCGCTATGAGACATCTCCTTTACCACTATGAGACATCTCCTTTACCACTATGAGACATCTCCTTTACCACTATGAGACATCTCCTTTACCGCTATGAGACATCTCCTTTACCACTATGAGACATCTCCTTTACCACTATGAGACATCTCCTTTACCGCTATGAGACATCTCCTTTACCACTGTGAGACATCTCCTTTACCACTATGAGACATCTCCTTTACCGCTATGAGACATCTCCTTTACCACTATGAGACATCTCCTTTACCACTATGAGACATCTCCTTTACCACTATGAGACATCTCCTTTACCACTATGAGACATCTCCTTTACCACTATGAGACATCTCCTTTACCACTATGAGACATCTCCTTTACCGCTATGAGACATCTCCTTTACCGCTATGAGACATCTCTTTTACCACTATGAGACATCTCCTTTACCACTATGAGACATCTCCTTTACCACTATGAGACATCTCCTTTACCACTATGAGACATCTCCTTTACCACTATGAGACATCTCCTTTACTGCTATGAGACATCTCCTTTACCACTGAGACATCTCCTTTACCACTATAAGACATCTCCTTTACCGCTATGAGACATCTCCTTTACCACTGTGAGACGTCTCCTTTACCGCTGTGAGACATCTCCTTTACCACTATGAGACATCTCCTTTACCACTGAGACATCTCCTTTACCACTATGAGACATCTCCTTTACCACTGAGACATCTCCTTTACCACTATGAGACATCTCCTTTACCACTATGAGACATCTCCTTTACCACTGAGACATCTCCTTTACCACTATGAGACATCTCCTTTACCACTATGAGACATCTCCTTTACCACTATGAGACATCTCCTTTACCACTGAGACATCTCCTTTACCACTATGAGACATCTCCTTTACCACTATGAGACATCTCCTTTACCACTATGAGACATCTCCTTTACCACTATGAGACATCTCCTTTACCACTGTGAGACATCTCCTTTACCACTATGAGACATCTCCTTTACCACTATGAGACATCTCCTTTACCGCTATGAGACATCTCCTTTACCACTATGAGACATCTCCTTTACCACTGAGACATCTCCTTTACCACTGTGAGACATCTCCTTTACCGCTATGAGACATCTCCTTTACCACTATGAGACATCTCCTTTACCACTGAGACATCTCCTTTACCACTATGAGACATCTCCTTTACCACTATGAGACATCTCCTTTACCACTATGAGACATCTCCTTTACCACTGAGACATCTCCTTTACCACTGAGACATCTCCTTTACCACTATGAGACATCTCCTTTACCACTATGAGACATCTCCTTTACCACTATGAGACATCTCCTTTACCACTATGAGACATCTCCTTTACCACTGAGACATCTCCTTTACCACTATGAGACATCTCCTTTACCACTATGAGACATCTCCTTTACCACTGAGACATCTCCTTTACCACTATGAGACATCTCCTTTACCACTGAGACATCTCCTTTACCACTATGAGACATCTCCTTTACCACTATGAGACATCTCCTTTACCACTATGAGACATCTCCTTTACCACTATGAGACATCTCCTTTACCACTATGAGACATCTCCTTTACCACTGTGAGACATCTCCTTTACCAGTGGCACAATATAGTAGTAGGTTTTTACCCTTTCAACTGGTACAAAAACTGACACCTTTATACAAGGTAACATGTTTGCAATAACCACAACACAAGCAGTCAAAATGCAAACAAAAAGAAACAACTCTGATGATGATAATGATATGCACCGTCCTTGAAGTTGATTGGTCCACACCCGAGACAGCTTTTCTGAACAACCAGTGGCATCTACATCTGCAGAACGTGAAGAACCAGTGGCATCTACATCTGCAGAACGTGAAGAACCAGTGGCATCTGCAGCACGTGAAGAACCAGTGGCATCTACAGAACGTGAAGAACCAGTGGCATCTACATCTGCAGAACGTGAAGAACCAGTGGCATCGACATCTGCAGAACGTGAACCAGTGGCATCTACATCTGCAGAACGTGAAGAACCAGTGGCATCTACATCTGCAGAACGTGAAGAACCAGTGGCATCTACATCTGCAGAACGTGAAGAACCAGTGACATCGACAGAACGTGAAGAACCAGTGGCATCTACATCTGCAGAACGTGAAGAACCAGTGCCGTCTACATCTGCAGAACGTGAAGAACCAGTGGCATCTACATCTGTAGAACGTGAAGAACCAGTGCCATCTACATCTGCAGAACGCGAAGAACCAGTGGCATCTACATCTGCAGAACGTGAAGAACCAGTGGCATCTACATCTGTAAAACGTGAAGAACCAGTGGCATCTATAACTGCAGAACGTGAAGAACCAGTGGCATCTACATCTACAGAACGTGAAGAACCAGTGGCATCTACATCTGCAGAACGCGAAGAACCAGTGGCATCTACATCTGCAGAACGTGAAGAACCAGTGGCATCTACATCTGTAAAACGTGAAGAACCAGTGGCATCTACATCTGCAGAACGCGAAGAACCAGTGGCATCTACATCTGCAGAACGTGAAGAACCAGTGGCATCTACATCTGTAAAACGTGAAGAACCAGTGGCATCTACATCTGCAGAACGTGAAGAACCAGTGGCATCTACAGAACGTGAAGAACCAGTGGCATCTACATCTGCATAATGTGAAGAACCAGTGACATCTCGTATATTTGGAGAGGCATCGTCAGGGTTCGGGATCGAACCCACGCTCCCAACCTGGGTACCTTGGCGAGGGGGTGACATCTGCCTTGCACCGCGTGTCCCCGGCTGAGGCTGTCAGCATCGTGGTCGCGTTACGCGGTGCGTCAGCATCACCACTCGGGAGACAAAGGCGGCCGGGAGTGGTGTGTCAACACCTGTCAACCCCTTATCAGTGCCCTCTCTTACACACCAATTATACAGACCTTAGTGGTCACCCCGTGGTCCCTTATACATCTCAACGTTCATCCTACAAAGTTCCCATCACAAGGGAGAAACACAAACAAATAGACACAATATATTTGTTGTGTGCCCGTATTGAAACGGCTGTACACCGTATGGACCTGAAAACTCAATTCCCCTGCACAAGAATACGGGGTAGACCGTACGGGATTGACAGCTTTGCGTGCCGGCCTTCACAAGGCGCTTTGCTAACAGCACTTGCCCCAACAGCCTGGCGAGGCTGGGTAACCTTTATCTTTGTGCACACCTTGTGATTACTGTACGGTATTATGTAAGATCGAGATGTTCAGATTGTGTGTGTGTGTGTGGCCTGCATAGGTGCACGCTAACCGCACTTGCCCCAAACGTATGTTGAGGCTATATGGGGAACTTTTATCTTTGTGTACACTTTGTGATGAATGCATTATGTAAGATCGAGATGTTCAGATTGTGTGTTTGGGGCCTTCAAGGGTGCACGCTAACAGCACTTGCCGCAACAGCCTGGCGAGGCTATACGGGGGATCTTTGTCTTTGTTGTTCCAGTGTGTGTTTACCGCTTGCGTGGTTATATCACACAGCACGTGCTGACATTGACTGCGTGTGTCTGTGTATG